ACTACTACTACTACTACTACTACTACTACTACTACTACTACTACTACTACTACCACTATTACCTCAACCCTAACCCTAACGTTAACAATAGCCCGTAGCCACTGAACCTTACCCCTATCTTAACCCCTAACCCCCCAACTCCTAGCCCTTAACCCCTAAACCCTAAACTCTACCCCCTAACCCTTAAACCTTAAACCTAAACCTAACCTAACCCTGAGTTCTGGTATTGTATTTTTGACATGTTCACCATAATATATATCATAACGCCCCACAGGAAAGGAAGCGTAATAAGTTGAATCTAGTACATATAGGAATCATGTGCTCAAATTTGGACTATTTGCATTGCTTAATTAAAATTAATGTACGATGCGGGTTTAACACCCCGTTTTCGTACAGGAAATCTTTTCGTTCATCTCTGAAGACACCAAGCCTTTTCAAATCAACGAACATCCCACTTTCAAATATTGTCTTTCAGGATTCCAACCAGGGTTTCCCGCACTTGGGTCTAACAGGACACCAAGCAAGCTAGCTGGTGAAACGGGTATAGGTTTAACGCCTCTATCGACACTATTAGATCTTTTTTTTTAAAGGCGTGACCTCCCAGTTTAACGTCCATTTTCAAAAGGACCGAGCCAAATGAGAAATTCGTGTAAAGTGCCTTTCCCAAGGACACAACGTTGGACCGAGCTGAGGCTCGAACCCCCGAACCCGCAATCTCACGAGTCCGGTAGCCAAACCACTAGGCCACCGACGTCACCAAGCTAATTGACTGGACAATAAAGATTAATCTTATCTTACGATATTTGCATTGTCTGCTCTTGTTACTTTTATAGTCTTTAAGGACAGTTTACAGTTACCAGTTTTACTACCTCTACATTTCTATTTCAGCTACAGAAACTTCACGCCCTGGTAAGTGATTTTGGAATTTTTTTTCTCGTTAAAAAAGGTGTTACTCAAAAGAAATTAAAGGAGTAAAAAAGCTCTTAGATATCCTGCAAAAACAGCTGGACTTAAGCAATATTATTGTACTACCGACTTTGGGTAATTAATAAAAGCCATAACTGTTGTGTACAGACAGTGGTTAGGCTCTCGGACTCGCAACCGTAAGGTCGTGGGTTCGAATCCCGTCAAGGGCCCGACGTTGTGTCCTTGGGAAAGGCACTTAACACTAATTTTCCTCACTTCACCCAGGTGGGAATGGGTACCCGGCTATAGACAGCGAAAGATCTTGTCAGTTTGTTAGTGTTTGAGCGCTTAATCGGCTGCTCGCACTGTATGCTTCCCGGGAAGCTGAGAATGTTTCGGAGTGTTCTATGGTCTGCTGGGGTAATAATATAGTGTAAAGCGCATAGAGCCTGCTGCTGAGCGGGGATATGCGCTATACAAATGCTATCTATTATTATTATTATTATTATTATTATTATTATTATTATTAAGCCATTTCATTCAAACGCCCTGTTGACGTTTTTCATTATACTAAGAACTCGTGTTTTTAGCAACAATATTTGATTTTGATCCTTTATTTTTCTAACCCCTTCAGCAGAGCAAAAAGAAGGAACACAATTTGTAACTATTTTTAAAACAAAGGTGTTTTTTTTGACTGCTACATTTACTTGTTCTCTCAATCAAGCTTTAAGTAGATACTTGCAACACTAAACCGTCGAAGGTACCATCTGGTTCTTCTATTCAACTCGAACATTATGGACTTTCTAGAAAAGAAAACTAATGCAAATTTACCGAAAGGTAAGAAAAAACATCTTTTAAAATGGACAGAAACAGAAGAGCATTTATTTCGATTTGCAGGACTGTATTATCTTTGTGATGAAAAATATATCTTGCTTATTTACCTTTTTATCGAGTATCTCTTTCTTTCTGCTGGGACGTAGTATTCTTCTCAGCCGGGTTAGCCCGAATAGGCTGGTGGTCGGAAACCCGTCTCCTAAACAATCTAGATTGCACGTCTATGGGAGAGTAAAAATACACATATATGAAAAAGAAATTGATATGTATGGCATCGTGGTGAAATAGGGCGCTCGAAAAAATAATTAAATCAAAGAAACTAGCATTTTTCTGGACGTTGTGCAAATGTTTTTGGAACTTTCTTTTTTTCACTCAACACTTTTTATGTCCTTTTATAAACACATCACGGTGTGGATTTTTACTGAAAAACGTTGATTAAAGGCACACAAGTGGTAAATTTACTGTTTCCTGGGAAATCACCAAACTTTGGCAGCCATTTTCTCGCTAATTTTACTTCTGAAACAAGGCGATCCTCACCTCCTTCAATCGCCAAAATCTTGAGTTGTATAGAAGATAAATTGATATTTTTTTCTTTCAAAAGCAATGCAAATGGGCAGGCTTTAAGATGACACCGATAACTCCATATGGCCCAACTTGACGAGCGCCTGATTCCACCGCATCGTGACACATATTATTGTTATGGTGATGAAACAGACGTCTTGATTATTTAAATCTTTATCAAGTATGGGGGGAGGGGGGTGTCGAAAACCTGCCTAATAAATGATCTAAATTGCGTCCATGGGAGCAAAAAATACACCTACATCCCCCCAAAATATTGCTCTTCCCCACAAACTCACCAGCTACAAGAGTTGTATGAAGATGATGGTCCTGAAGCGTCGTCGGCACCGCAGTCTTCTAAACAAGAGGCCACACCCACTGCTGAAGCTGCTGTGTCTGAGGACATGCAGAGAAGCGGGGAAGACAAGCCAGGCAGCACAGAGGAGGAGGAGGAGCTAGATGGGTTGAACGAAAAGGTGTGTGGCAGAATTAAGCACACTTGCACAATTATTAATTTGCAATATAATGTATTATCAACTTCATATTGACTTGTGGTATATATTATTAACTATATTATTAACTTGCAATATATTATCCATTATACAGGGTGGTCCCCAAAAAAACTTTACAACTTTTTTTTCTGAATATCTCGCGCAAAAATTGTTCTAGAACGCTGTAATTTGGAACAGACATAATTCATTCAAAAGGAATTTGTTTGATATAAAATATACGAAGAAGAAACATGTTTTGACAACGGAAACGGCTAAAAGAAAAAAGCACCAAAAAACGCAGAGTTCACCATTGTTTAAAAATCTTGTAAAGGAAGTCGTGAAAAGATTAGTTGACCTTTTTCTTCATTTTCTCTTTGACATTAATTTTCCACCTCTGTGACATTTAAACTATATTTTAATAATTTTACAGAGTTAAAAAAAAGCTAATGATTTCATTTTGAAATTCCCAGAAGCAGTGCTCCACATTCCCTCCTTTGTACTCGAAACATTTTAGACGCGTCGTTCGAAATGTTCAGTGGCGCCCAAACACGAGGACCTGCTAAACTATGAGTTTTTAAAGCCACATACACTGTGCACATGTTCACTAAGAAGTGGCTTCTAGAGACAATAGAGTGGGGTGCCCAATAGACAGCATCTTTGGAGTTAACATATCCTGCAGGGTGAAAATGGGCTTTGCACTTAACCAAATGTCATCGAGGAAGTGATCCCTCTTTACAAGACAATCGCGGAATCATGAACACATTGCCATGCCCTGATCCATGTTATCTCGGCCTAGCGAAGATGAACATGGTATAGTCTTAGGTTAAGATCTGCCATGAGAATGCAGACTGTTGATGTGTAGTAAAGTCCTAGCTGCAGATCATCCACGGACAGACGTCTCATGGGACTCGGCTACTGAAATCTGCACTCTGGTGACGTTTAAAGGGCTGCGCATGGTGCGTTTTCGACCTGAAGTGTCATGTTTTAAAGAACTTTTTAGTTCTGATTTACTATAGATCCAAACTGACGGAACTTTTCTACTCATGATGCCAAAGGTCTTGAGGGCACCAAAGCATTCTCTCCATGCCGTGCGCAGAACGTACGGAATGTCGGGGATGGTGAATTTGTGGAGAGGTAATGCTCATTACAAAAAGCTCTCTGCTCTTTACTAAACGTCACCCTGATCTAACAAAATTTGGGAAAAATAATTTCTGCAGACTTCTATTGACTTGTTAGACAGCTGTAGCTTGCAATATGGCGTGATTGTCGCAACTTTTAGTGGTAGGTCTAATGCGAACTGGTGCGTTATGCTATGAAAATGGCGACACGGTTGAAAATGGGTTGTTTTTTTAATGCGCTATATAGAGCAAAACCATTCAATGGACTTATCTAAAATACATATCAGACAAATTCCTTTTGGCTTCCAAACGTTATGTTTAAATCTGAAACGCAAAACTTTAGTATGGAGGAAGATATTAAAAAAAAAATTGTAATTTTTTTTTGGGATCACCCTGTATATTAAACTTGTAATGTATATTATTAACTATATGTTAACTTTTAATATATATATATTTATATATATATATATATATATATATATATATATATATATATATATATGTATATATATATATATATATATATATATATATATATATATATGATCAAATACATACTGACTTGCAATATGTATTATCAACCATATATTAACTTGCAATGTATGGCGATGCCACGAGACTTTAAAAAAATACAATTTGATGATAATAATGAACAGGTGTGTAACAGCGTTAAGCACACTTGCATTTGTGATATTGAAACGTAGCCTTATTTTATCATTATATTATTTTCATACAGTTAGATCATATTGTGTTAATAGTTTTGTTTTTTAAAACCTTTTTTGACAGTATCAATAGTTTATAATACATACTCTAATCCTCTCCGTCGAGTTTTACGAATTGCGAGTTCGCTGAAAGCTCCATTCAGCACGAACGTAGCACCTTAGAGCATTAAAACATTCTATTGTTTTTGAGTGGAGTTCAACATTTCGTTCTCTTTAACCACGTAATAAAATCTACTGCTAAGCTCAATGACTCTTCTGTGGAAAAACGAATCTTCCTTTTCTCCTTTGAAATGACGTAATTATTCTGTGATCGTGACGACGTTAAACTTCATCAGACCCCCCCAACCCCCACCTATCCACTTCGAAGTGCAAACATCTTGTTTCGAATGAAATTCTAATGTTCTTCTTACCCACATTTTGATACCTTTTGGTTATGCGGTCTCCAACCAGCACATGTGTAGAGTTTACTGGATGTAATTCTACTTTGAATGAGGTAGTGCTTGATGAAGCCTACGTGGGACGTCTACTGTTAAACACAACCAGGAAACGTCAAGTGCAGTTTTGGGACGCCTGAAGAGACATAAAGGTCTTGAACATCTAGCTCTCACTGACAAAATTGAAGGCAAACGAGCAGGGGTAGGCCCAGAGCAACCTACTTAGGGAACCTAAACAAATGGGTAACAGGGGAAGATCAGGGAAATGTGGCTTTCTAAAGAGCATCCGAGAAAAGGAATGAATGGAGAACCATGATCGCGATATCTCCCGCAGATCTAGCACTGGATGATAATAATGATTCCACTTTGGCTAACAATCTGGATAGCAATGTTTGATTTTGCTTGATTTAAGATTTGATTGAATCCATAAAACAAGGAGTTGTTAGAGACCAGAGCGTGACGTGAAGAGCAATCAGTAAGTCTAAGCTAGCAAAAACAAAATCCAAAACAAAACAGGACAAGATGTCCAAACATTTGGTTCTTTAGGCCTTTCCCCAAGGGGGGATATTAACAGGTTCTTATGCACAGTAGAATTTTAGATGGGCTGATTTATCAATGGCATGCTCATACTATGCGGGAACAACATAGGGGGAACTGCTGCTTTTTCTTTCCTCATCCTTTTTATCGTCATTTATCCTCTACTTCTTTTGTATGTTTGTCACTCTCTTGTGAACTGCTATTTCCGGGGTGCCGTGATAGTCGAAGCAGAATGTGTGCTGTTGAGGCTAGAGGTGAGCAGAGTAAGCCTGATTGCCCGTCTTGACTTTTTTGTTGACGGCCAATCCTTGGCGCTCCTATGACCTTATGCAGTTGTGAGCGCCGTAACAACTTATTATATAGACACCCCTGGCATTCTCATTTCAATACATGCAGTTTGGCTACTGAATGTCCACACGTCTGTTTTGTGTTTGCTTGCTCTCGAACGTGTGTGTGTGTGTGAATGTGTGTGTATGTATGCATGTATGTGTGTGTGTGTGTGTGTGTGTGTGTGTGTGTGTGTGTGTGTGTGTGTGTGTGTGTGTGTGTGTGTTTGTGTGTTTGTGTGTCTTTTGACAATTTTTTGAGTGTCGTGTTAAAAAGCCAGTTTATGTAAAGCTTACCAATATGTTTCCTTAATAATATCTTCTTTTTCTAAGCACAAAAAAACCCCTTTGGCGGGGGGGGGGGGGGGGGGGGGTGTAATGCTTAGCTTCCTTGAAGTACACACAAAAGATTCGATTCCCAAATAAAGATGATATTATTAATCACTTGAAAGTATCCATACCTGCTCCTGTGGGATGTATTACGCGGAGAGACACACACACACACACACACACACACACACACACACACACACACACACACACACACACACACACGCACGCACGCACGCACGCACGCACACACACACACACACACACACACACACACACACACACACACAACTCGGGCTGGCTCTCTCGTATAACGCCGTAGTGTCCCAACTCTTACTTAGTAGAGGCTCTATAAAAGGTCGAAGGTGGCGCAGAGCGTTTACAACTTCATAGAATTCTCCTCCAATTTTGGAGCTCCGCTACCCTCAGCTAGTGTTATCATGCTGGACCACATAGCGGATTTTCCCGGTTCTAATCGGAGTATAAGCGTTGTTAAACTGGGGTAGTTTTGTGAACACCTGAATAGACATACAGGTCTTGAACATCTAGCTCTCAATGGCAAAACTGAAGGCAAAGGAGGCAGGGGTAGGCCCAGAGCAACCTACTCAGGGAACCTAAACAAAAGGATAACGGGGAAAGATCAAGGACACATAGCCTTTTTAAGAGCATTGGAGCAAAGGAATGAATGGAGAACCGTGATTGCCGATGTCTGTCGCTGATCTGGCACTGGATGATGAGGTTTTGTGGAAGTTTTAAGGCTCTCAAACCAATTATTAGTTCTATCCTATCGGAGATGGACGTGTAATTGGAGGTTCTGCAAGACGTGTTACGTTCACTAATTGTGTTCTCCCAAACTGGACCACTGACATGCTTTCTACTGGCAAGGTATTTTTGCACTTAATGCGGTTTAAAAATAATTCCTAACCCTTTCGCTGCTGAACTGTAAACGCTTCTTAAAACCATACGATACACCAACCAGGATACGCACACTAAATCATGTTTTAACAGACTCCTACTTTATGGATATCGAAAATTGCATACCCCAGGTGCAATTTATCCCCCCCCCCCCCACATCTCCGTCTTTCATTCTTTTCCTCAATCACCTCAGGGTTCACTTAGTTTTAATGAGAAGGGTTTTGTAAAGCAGTGAAGCGGTTTATGCGGGTAAATTCCTCATGGCTATGTTTACAGAACATTTTGTCTTTTCTGTACAAACGTGCATGGAAACACTTAGCACTGGAAGGGTTAAAGAACCTTTTAGGGTTGACAGAGGCGTTAAACCCCTACTTTTTTCTCTCCCGATTGCCTTACAGTACTGAAACCAATTAAATTTTTTTCGGGGTCACAGGTTCAGTCTGAAAAACGTGCCAGTTCCCAGCAGAAGAGAGTAATGACGTCAGGACAGGATGATGATCCCATTAAGGTACATCGTACGCACTTGTAGTACAGATAGGTAATTTAAGTGACAAAGATTTGATTTGTTACTAAAAAGTAACTCACAAAGAAGAGAAAGAGAAGAGTGATAAGGATGATAGATGCTTGATAGGAAAGAAAGAGCAAACTACTTCTGAGCATCTGCCCACCATCCACACTGTAGGTTTAGCTCCAATTTTAACTCCTTTTCATCAAAAAATACAATTTTGGTTTGGAGTTAAACGACAGGTGTCCACAGGTCAACTGTGCTGACGTTTTCATCAGCGGTTCCACTCCTCTAAGGCAGTCATGTTCTTCTGGTGCAAATAGTTTTTTAAAACTCGTATCACGCACAGGTTCATAGCACAAAGTGAACTTACAGGATGATAAAAAAAAACCCTGTAGATCTTTTTTCTGATTATCTCACGCAAAAATTGTTCTAGAATGCTGTAATTTGGAACAGACATAATTTATTCAAAAGGAAGGTGTTCGACGTAAAATCCACTAAGAAAAAACTTGTTTTGAAAATGGAAACGGCTTGAAGAAAAAAGCACCCAAAAACGAAAAAAAATCTTGTTAGGGAAGTCGTGAAAAGATTGGTCGACGTTTTTCTTTATTTTTTCTTTGAAATTTAATTTTTCATCCCTGTGACATTTAAATAATATATAATTTCTTTTACAGGTAAAAAAACAACAACACCCTAATGGTTTCATTCTGAAATTCCCCGAATCAGTGCTCCACATTCCCTCCTTGGGACTCTACACATTTGTAGCGCGCCGTTCGAAATATTCAATGGCACCCTAACACAAGGACATGCAAAACCACGAGTGTTTAAAGCCACACACACACGGCATATCCACTATGAAGTGGCTTCTACAAACAGTAGAGTGGGGTGCCCAATAGACAGCCTTTTTAGAGTTAACATATCGAGCAGGGTTAAAATGGGCTTTGTACTAAACCAAATGTCATCGAGGAAATGATCCCTCTTTTCAAGACAATTGAGGAATCATAAATACATTGCCATGCTCTGATCCATGTCATCTCGGTCTAACGAAGATGAACATTATTTTTATTATTATTATTATTATAATGATGATGATGATGATGATGATGATGATGATGATGATGATGAT